CAATCTTGAGTCTACTACCCACATTAGATCTGGCCAGCTTTTGTTTTGTTGAGATGAGAATTACTGTAGGATTTCATTACAATTTATAGTTTTATGGCCTTGCAGTCTAAACTGGGGTATTTTTTTCTGTGTTGATTTACATGGTAAGCAGCAGAGCAAGAAAGCAGCAAAGAATAGTTTCACTCACAGTTAATCAGTTTCTATTGGGAAAAAGGATCTTGTTCTGACAGTCAAGCTAAATAATCTTAGCTCTGGTTTCAGATAACCTAATTTTGGTCCTCCAAGTCTAAGAACCAGCATGTGGAATTCAGTGCAGAAATACTGAATGCTAAGTAAAGGACAAATTCTCATCAGTGTCAGTAGAACTATTCTAAAGTCAGATGAGTCAAATTTGTAACGGTCTCTGTCAGAGATTTCAAATATAAGCAATTATGACTGCTTGTCCTTTTATTCAAGAAAATTTCTGAGTAGGAAAATTGTATAGAAAACTAAAATTTGTCCTTCTCGTTCCAATTTCCATAGTCCAGCATTTTATCTACCTAACGATTAATACAGTTTCACTTAGATGTAACACTAAGATATTAATACATACTATTTCCCTCAGATTTTGTTTATGTACAGAAAACAAAGTCAAATTTAAATGGAAAGCCCAACATTAAACCTTCAATTTGGAGCAACCAGGCATGTCTAACAATAGGTCTTATATGTTATTCTTACCTACTTTAAGCTCTTAAAGTAACCAGAGACAGATCTGAACTGTCAAGTTTCCATGTACTTGGGGGGAAAAAAAAAAAATAAAAAAAAAAAAAAATCAAGCTTTGCTCCTCTGCTTGCCCTCTGCTAGCTCTCCCAGAAATTTACCTCTATCAAAATTCTGCCGTAACAGGTGCAAGAGGGAATAGATGGAGAACTTTGGTGAATCCCACATCTGCTTTTTGAAAGAGGCAACAGAAGCAGCACAGAAGGAAGTAAGAAAGATAATTGCTGGCTTGAACTACCATACATTTTACTTGTGGGCAAAGGGCCAGCTTACATGAGGCAGAATATGCAGGACCAACTTATTGGAATTCAGGGGTGGGCCTTCATTCTTGTCCGGAGACAGCTGTAAACCAGCAGCCCATAGCATCACAATCAGGCACAGAGTTTTGTCAAGGAATGCTGATATGTACAGAAACAGCTTCAGCAGCTTCGGCTGCACCCCTGCCTAGCAAAATGACAGTCAATCTCCAATTCCAGATGACAAGAACTGGATAAAAACTTAAAACAAATGGTGACCTTTCAAAAGATTAATTTGTTTACCAACAAAATGTTCTACGTTTGTCATCCGAGATGGGGGTGACCTTCACATTCCCATTTCTAGGTTGAAAGGGTGCTGACTATAGTCATCTGTTAAGTTAACTCTCTTTTACCAATTATTTCCTTTTTATTTTTAGTGACAAAAAGATTTTATTAATTCACTGTGCTGGTTATTATGATTACATACCATAATACAAATGCAACAAGCTTATTTTGAATTACTGTAGTGTAACATCGATTTGTTTAAGTCTCATTCTGCTACCACTGCCAAATTATGCTTTGACTGTAATTATAGCCATATGCATAAGTTTAAAACACAGCCGGGTTCTGAGGACCAAAAGACCTGTTTTTCTTCTACAACTTCTTCTCATCACTTGAAAATGAAAAGAATTGCCCTGCTTTGCCTTACCTTATAATTTTGGAAATGAATAGACTTCCAGCGACAAGCATTAGTGATTAGCATGATGCAAATACTGAATAAAGAATGAATAATGGACGACATGATTAGAATGGTTGTGCTCAAATAAGTTAGCTTAAAAAAAACCCAAACCAGCACAACACAGAATCGCTGCCATCATCATTAGAGCCACACTGTATAAGACGCAACTCATAAAGGCTAGAAATCATCACCGTATTAAATTCTACCTCATGAATAAATTAAAAGGTTCCTAAGTTTACAGTATAATATACATTTATAAGAAAACAAGGACCAAAAAGTGCCAGTATAATTCTGTAAAAGAACAGCAGTCCTATGAAAATAAAAGGTACAGTTGTGAATCTTTTCTACATTGCAGCAGTTCATCAGAATTATTTTTGCTGCAATTCAGATTACTATTTGTTTTGCTAGATACTCCATGGGAAGTATACATATTTAATAATTCTTTCCTCATCATTTTTCATTTGTTACCCAGACATAGGCTACAAAATAAAATGAATCCCAGTCTCCCCACGGTGTTTCAAACAGAATTCCAGTCCTCATTTTAAGGTAATGACAGAAATTTAGAGAGGATGAAGCATTATGGCTTATCAGACCCAAAAAGTACAAAAGGGCAATAGTCAATTGTTCTTAGTGTCTCTCATAAAATCCAGCGTCAGCAACTTTACAATACCAAAAGAGCAAGAAAAGAGGACATTTTTGTGAAACAATGAGATCCTTACTAATAATTTTTCAAACTACTCAAATGGCAGGATAATAAAAAGTCCACGTAGATTTGTGCTTGACCTATCTTGTCACCTCAAAACCAGCGTGTTTTTAATCTCATCACATTTTTAAACGTTCACATCTCCTTAAAAAGATGCTGACAACTTCTGGAAAAAACCTGAATGCAGTTAACCAAGCAATTAGTTTTTAATTTACTTCAATGAGAGCCCTTCTGCCACTGATTTTTTTGGGAGATACATCTTTGAACTTATGTACATATGTAGGGCATTCACATGGGTATACGTGTGTGTGTGTGTGCCCGCATGTGTGTGTACAAATATTGCCCTCTAATGGCTAATTAGTAAAATAGGGTAGGTAGCATCCAACTTAATTCTTGAGGCTACTTTAATTGATATTTTTTTCAAAGCTAAAGACCATATAATTTCAGACCTGCAACTACACATTGATTTACTTTAGTTACTATTGGTGGTCTATAACTATCACTCCTCTTAGTGGTACCATAGACCACATTTAACAAAAATGCCTTAATTCACAATCTCAGTAATGGATTCTGCAAATCTAATTGCAAAAGTCTACCCCCAGTGAAGCTAGAGCATTTCAAAACACAGGTTGTGTCATAGGATTTGACAACTTCTAAAAAACATTTGCTTCCGTAAATGCTGTAGAATAAATTAGAGATAGGAAATACCTACTTTTTTTCAGCCCATCTCCCTGTCATAAACAGTTCCTTAGCAACTGTAAATATGTATCAGAGAGCTTGACTAATTTTCACTAAATGTTTGTAATTTAAGTTTTCTCTGATCAGTATATGTTTCAGTGAGAGTGGTAAAACACATGGCTCTCTGCAGTAGTATAATATTCCTCTCTGTGAGTGTTTTAGAGTGGTTCTAAAAAGCTATTAGCCATGATGCTTTTTTCTAATTAACTCTATATCACAGGGTTAGACAAATCACCTCTTCGTCTGGGCAACAGCTTTCAAAAATCATTTTTTATAAGTGGCAGCTTACAGCTGTGCCATTCACAGATTCTGTTTATGTTGTTTAAAACCAAATACCCTAGAATGTCTCTTCTAGCACTGGGCTTGCTGCATAATGCTTCTATTACATAAATTAAATTGTAGAAGAGCATCCTTGTGTGAGACCGTTGGGCATATTCTTTCATGTGGACCACAGTGCTGTGCTAAATTTGTGAACATAATTGATCTTTGGAGGGATGCCTGTGCCTATTACATTTTTAAAAGCATACTTTGCAGAAAATGTCATCTTCATGTTCATTTGTTTATTTAAAAGGAGCAGCGGTTGCAGAACACAAATTTGGAAGAATCAAAACTTAAATCTTACACAACTTGAATATTTTCAGACCAGAAAGAATAATGAAGGGTGATTTGATGGATACTAGTCAGGGTACTCTTAGGAGAGCATTGGAAGTGGTCAGTCTCAGCTTTGGTAAATACTTGTTTTGTACTAAGGGAAACAGCTTGACTAGAGATAAAAGAAAGGCTGTGCTTCAGAATACCTTGTAGCTTGACAGTGAGGATCACTTGGGATCTACAAGACAATGGAAATATCTCCACAGGGAAAGCAAGGATCTGAATCTGTCCCTCACATCCCAAAGTAAGTGCTCCCAGCATGGAGCTAAGAAGTAGAACTCAACATAACCTCCCGGACCACGCCAGAATAAGATGTAAACGACACCTAAATTCATGTAGTCACTCTAAGATTCTGACTCTCTTTCAGTATAACCCCTATTATTTTTTTGATTCAGTGACACCAATTTCTGGTCAGTGTCAGCAATCATGTGGCAGGATTGCTTTTTTAAAAGACGACAATTAAAAACCAGCATCAAAACAAAGTACAGGCATTTCCCACTCATTCCTAACAATCCTGTTATCATTTCAAAACAGAATATATTCTTGTCTTTTTAAGAAATGGCCATAGAATGAACAACTGATAGCCCATTCTTGTCAGCAAAACTCCTTTTCATAGAATCATGGAATCGTTCAGGTTGGAAAAGCCTTTTAAGATTATCAAGCCCAACCGTTCCCCTAACCCTGCCATCTCACCACTAAACCACGCCTCTAAGCACCTCATCTACCCATCTCTTAAACACCCCCAGGGATGGGGACTTGACCACTTCCCTGGGCAACCCATTCCAGTGCTTGACAGCCCTTTCATTGCAAAAATTTTTCCTGATGTCTAATCTTTTACTTCTTCCTTGATTTTTGGGTCACATCCTAAACTCCACAAGCTCCAGTTTACTTTTCTTCACTCCCTGATTTCAATGAGATTACTTACCACGCACATTCCCATGTATACTTATACTTTTGCTGGATTCGGGTCTTACTACCTAAACTTGTTATGCTACAGGTTTGGTTTTGCCAGTATTGCCACCCAAAATGTTTTGATCATTACATATCAATGTCAAAAAGTAGGAAATGATGAGGTACTTAAAATATTTTTTTTTAATTTAGGTCTGATATGTATTCACTTTAATAGCGAAAAGTAATGCATATAATAAGCCCATAAGATAACAAGTTACTTACAGGAGCAGATTTTTTCCTTGTTATAAGTGGCAGCCTGGTCTCATAGTTCTGTTTTAAGACAGCTTTATAACTGGTGTTCTCTGGGTCGAGCATTATTTTCATGTCCATTTCCAGCTGCTGCTGAAATATATAATACACATAGTCTTAAAATAACTGCACTAGGACAGAAGTGTTTATAAGAAGTAATTGGCTAATGTGTTCATAAATTTGCAAAATGATGTTAAAAATTCATGTTATTTGAGTGTCCACACAGAACTGGGCAAACAATGAAAAAGCGCCTTTTGATTAGATGAATAAGGCATACAACTACTATCCACACATATGCTTTTGCCAAAATTTGATCAACTGATTTCATTACAAGAGCTGAAATTTCCAAATTTGCCCACTTTTGAGTTAAACTTTGAGTAGGAAGGACAATCAGGTTTGACTCACTCGATTAACATAGGTGATTTGTGAATACAATTTCCCTGTGTTCTAACAAACATTTTCTACACATCCTATCTATTGGGAAGGTGCTATACATGCATTCTTCCCATAGATGATAATAAGAGTCCAATCTACCTTGGCCCTGTTTGCCAGAGACTTTAATTCATGAATCACTGATCTGATGGACTAGAACAGCTTCTTTGGATCAGTTATGGCCCATTGACTCAATGCAGATAGAGCCCTTGCTTATAACTAAATAAAAATAGTAATAAGAACTAAAACATTGTAGTTTCTTAATGTACTGTGTTGTCTGCATGGAATGGATTCAACTATTTTGCTAATAGCTATTATTTAAATCCTAATGGGCAGAAAAAAAACTTTTAAAGGTCCTTCTTGTTACAAGAAGTATCTAAAGCACCACATACTTTTCCTAGAAAAGCAAGAAGTCATGCCATATGTTTTTAGCAGAGTGGAAGTTTCCTAAACTGAAGACATTTTGGTTCATCTTAACGCATGCGCTTTAGGTTACACCTGGATCTGTATCAAGTGTAGTAATATCTCCCAATACTTCTATTGCAGTAACATTGCTAACTGGACTCTGCATCCAACAGGGTTTATTTACCAACCAGTGCCCAATAAGGAAAATCCTCAAATGGCAAAAACTAACGTATCACCAGAGAAGTCAACAGAGCCAAGGAAATTCAGAGGAGCTGGGGGCCTGGCAGAGTATGTGCTTAATTCCCATCACATGGGTATAGGAATACAAAAAGTTCCTTCACACAGTAAGATCCAACTAAACATATTTATACACAAGAACTCTCTGCTGATACTTCTATTGCATAATCATAAAAATAAATTTATGAGAACTCTATTTTTTGACTAACAAAATATGCCATAAAAAGCCCAAGAATCATTAGAGGTATATTTGAACTATTAAACAATTGTATTACTTTGTGAAAGCACTAAAAATGGTTTAATGTATTTATCTGCACAATATATTCTCTTCTTTTGATAGTAATTACAAGCAGATGTATCAATGAGATGCTCATTTAGATTTGGGTTTGTAAGAACAAAAGTTATTATCCAAACCAATTACTCTTTTACCCACATGGCTGCACAGAGACAGAAAGTTCAATTTTCACTTCATCAGTGATTTTGTGGTATTTATTTTATTACTGTAACATACCACTGTACCGAAAGGAAACTGCTTGTGCTATTAAACAAGAATTGGGGGAAAATTGAGTACCTTCTCAATTAAAATAGGAGATGATTCACAATACAGCCTCCCCACTCAGACTGACAGTGAAAGGATTGATGCTGGAGTGGCAGATTCCACACAGAATAACAAGAATTGAAATGTCTAATGAAAAAACCTGATAAAAGTTATTTTGTCATCTTAGATGTATGATAAGTGACAATTCTACGTTTGCAGGAGCTGGAGCAGATAATATCATGGGTCTCTTCCATCTATATTATCCATCCATCTACATTATCCAAAGTCTTAAATTTAAGTTATCTTGAACCATCTTGTTGCAGAATAAGAAAAGGATGAGAACAGCAGGGTGACTAGCGCATTATTACTAATATAAAGCTCAGTAAGAATGAGAATTATTGTGCTCAGTTATTAACATGAAGTATACAGAACAGGTTGACATGTCCAGTACAGGTAAATAGTTCAAATCTTGTTCTACTTTAACACAAAAGTCATTTCAGAGCAGAAGACAATTTTATCATGTAGTAAGCCAAGAAATATGAATCACTACGTAATTCTGTTTTGCAGATGCATGTTTCTAATAGAGACCGATTCCTTTATGAATGGACATGATATTAATCTTTGAAACAGTCTGTATTATCCATAACTAAACCACTTTTCATGCCTAGCTATTTCTGTTATTTGCATATTCTAGAGCTCCCTAGAAACATCTTTTCACTTACATCTTTATTAATGATGAAAGAATATTAACTACTTTGTGTATTCAGAATGTGTCAGAAAGTATCAACTTTTAGAAAAAACAAACAAAAAAAAAATCCCCAAAACAAAGCTGCACAAGTATCAGTTCAGGTGTTTTCAAGTAAGCATGTGTTTTCAAAAAAAAAAAAAGTTTAACTTACACACTTATGTGTTACGGATGACAATGTCTTTTCAGCCACTGCTATACAGAGGCTTTACAATTACTGCATGAGGAAGACACATCTTTATAGTTCTCAAGCTTTGTTAGAAATAATCCAACTACAACACATAGCTTTGGGAAAAAAAAATACATAGAAAAAAAAAAAAAAGAGGGGGACAGCGCTTCACAATTTCCCCTGTGAGCTACATTTGGAGAATCTTATCTGGCTGCTGCTATGACTCAGAGATAGTGTATCTGTGAGTAAACAATAATTTTAAGCCTATTCTGACACCTGTGGGCAAGCTATTTCCCAGATGACAAGTACTCTAACAATGCGCATGTGAAAATAGCATCTGTGCCTATTTGACTCCAACCTTGGTTTACCCCAACTACTACAAACACAACTTATGCTCCATTCCTATTCTTGCACAGCATACTATGGACCGCAAAGCATGGAATTATTACTAGGTGAATTATTCATTTCTCTCAGAACCCCTATGAGTTGAAACATTGATTTCTTCAAGACAATACCCAGAAACACTGTCTGCAAACAGAAAACTATTCTGTTCACTAATATTTCTTTTGAGTGGAAAGGAATTTTGAAAAACACCAAAGTATGCTTAAAGAAACCAAAACTGTTTATAGCTACAAGTAAGGAAAAGACAGGAAATAAGGAATTGTAGGTGATAATTTCCCAGCTGGATTTCACAACTATTTAATAATAAAAGCTTTTTATGTTGGCATGCCGGGCATGTAGAACAGCTGGCAAAACAGCACTGTTTGCCATTTTCTTTATAATGGGAAATTAGGGCTAGCCTGTGTGTCACTGGATATGCATTTCTAAGCAGATGCCACAGATATCAACAATGAAAAGACAAAGAGAAAGTCAAGGCATGACAGAGCATGTGCTCCACTGTAAATTAAGCTCATTGGTGCACACGAAGAGTTGAAAGACCATAGATAATACAGAGTTGACAGAGTAGCTGAACTCTAATAATTTTTTTCCCCTCACAATGTAAACGTATTCATATAGGACAGGGTGGGAATACTGTCTAGAAAAAAAAAAAAACAATATCTTCATTGCACCTCATCCATCATTTCAAGAGTAAGCAATATTTTAATACTACTTTATATTAAGGCTTCTTTTACAAAGATGATCAGCGATGTAAGCGTTAGGGTGCTCATTCTGGTTATACCATTTCAAGTAGCTTCAAGCCCCAGCTTCTGATAACAGCCTTAGAACGATAGAGCGCCTGTTCTTAAGGTTCTCTCTCAAAGCTCCCTTCAATTTAAACAGTAATAACCCCAAATCGTGACAATGGGTATGTTTCAATTCAACTAATTACCATCATTTGTTTTTAAAATATGTTTGAGGAGACTACCTTGAACTCACCAGTCAAAATCCACAGCTTAGAATAAAAAAGCAAAACCACTTCAGATGCAAACATTTTAAGAAGATGTTAAATAATCTTGCAAGGATTTAATTTATAAAAAACCAGCGTAAAATCAGATTTCAAGGAGAAAACCTGTATTTATCACAGAGATCACTACCCTATACGTGAACAGAAGCCTTTCCCACAATTTGCCGTATCTTTTATGCAAAAAGAAAAAAAGAGAACCACTCAGTCTTGAACTACAAACGTTTATATCTGTGTTCATGCTATTCTAATAGTTCCATTTATTTTAGATGTTACTTGCAGAATCACAGTTAAGCATATAGTATTTGCAGGACTGGGACCTTAAAGCTGAACAAACAGCTGGTTTCAGAACTCTTAACAATATACCTGGGAGGGGGAATAAAGAATGGAAGGCTTGTGGATGCACCCATCATGATACTCAAGTCCTTCCCAGCTTTGATTTTATCTGGATTGTGAGGCTGGGAGGAGGCTCCTAGCTCTCAGCCCACTCATTGTGTTGAGAATTTTTTAACACATTCATACATGGTATATTATCAAAAACTGAGTCCATGTGGAGTCAGAACATAGCATTATGGCATCAACTGGTAACCTACAAGCCACCAGTCTACTCATTTAATGGGGGTCTCTGGCAGAGTAAATAATGTTATTTCAGACCTGTGAACCTTGAGAAACGCGTAGTGCTGACTTGCTGTATGCCTGGACAGTCACGGGCTCAACAGGTACTCGTGGTAAAATAAGCTGTTTCTGAGAAGCACCAAAATGAAGCCCCCTGATTTAGAAAGAAGCAAACAGTGAGGGTTTTAAAAAGTACTTTGATTTTACCTATTCAAATCATACTGCTTCCATCTGTCTGAATCTAAAAGACTGTATGTTTATTTAAATATTTTTTAAATTTGTGTTTAGCAAAAAAAAAAAAAAAAATCAGAGGAGTTAGCAGAAGATTGCTGTAGCTACTTAGAACCACATTTACTTTTGTATTGTTTTTTAACTTAAAATAAAACCAAAATAGCAAATGACCAAAATAACCTCATCTGGGCCAATATTCCCATTTGCTTTACAAGATTCTGACACCACGGTTTTTCTGTCTTGCTGCTTGCATTGTCTCTGCAATAAAACAGCTGTTTCACTTACCATTTAGGGGACTCTCTTGAAGGTACTTCTTTATTATCAGCAGAAGAAATAGTTAACACTTGTCTGTCCATAGCATTTAAATGGTTTTCAGCATGTTTCTGTTAGAGGGAAAAATAATAATGTTTAGACTATTACAAAGGTATGAGGGATATTGAATTTATTTAACTCAGTTAATTTAGCAATGTAGATCTTCACTTGACTGAAAAGTTGATCGGCTTTGTGCTTCTGTTGGACTAAATCTGATTTTGGCTAATGGTATGAGGCACAAGATCAGTCAATTCTGATGACCCAAAAGAGGAAGCCATCATGCTGAACTATAACATCTGATGAATCCCATCATTTGCTAATCAGAAAGGGATCTTGCAGGATGACAAACACATGTGCCCATGCACTCTAAGTGAATTACTGACAGAGATCTCAAAAACTGAATTATCTTCTGGATCTGCTCCATTTTACTTACTCTCAGCCCAAGTTCAGTTCTTTCAGTTGCTGTTCCAAGGTCACGAATATCCACAGCTTTTACATTTCCTTTCAAGTTCATATTTTTCACTTTAAGCTTGTGAAGGTCGTCTTGGACCTAAAAAGCAAGTTATGACAAAAATCATACCCATAACCTACACCCATGGGATTACATAGCAGGATTTCATCCCAATTAAATGCTTCCTAAATACGGAACTTCCCATACTTCTGTACTTTTATAAATAAGAGAATACAAAGCCAGTGACTTTAAAAGCCAATGACTTTAAAACCATTGGTTGCAGAAAACCTGAAAAAAGTTAACTTTAAAACAAATCTCGCAAAGCGATGGCAACAAACTTCAGGACCGAGGTCCTTTGCCAAGGAATCATCTTTCCTTACTTATTTCACACATCTCTCTTGGCGCAGGTGGCTTAACTACTCAAAAGTCTCAAAAGCAGCAACGAGAGACTGAAAGGGAGAGGCAGCCTGTGAGGAGATCATGCCAGCCCGTGTCAAAAACTTGTATTTATACTGCTAAGCAAAAAAAGTTCCAGGTCGCATTGTGCTAAAGAAGCCTAACATATACAAAGCCACAGCCCTTATCCAAAATTCCCTGGCGCCACTGCAGCCGCCCCCTCACACAGGGGCTGAGCCTCCCGTCCCCTCAGCAGCAGGCCGCGCCGCCCGCGCGTCAGCCCAGGCGTGAAGCGGCCTCCCCGGGGAGGA